CTTCGACACCCCCCAGGAGGCCTTCGGGGCCCTGCGGCCCGTCTGCGTGCAGCTGACGAGGGCGCAGAGCCTGGAGAACGTGGCGCGCCTGCGGGCCCGCCTGGCAGGCGTCAGCGCCCCGGCCCTGCAGGACCTGCAGGAGTACGTCCTCTTCCCCCTGCGCTTCGCCCTGAAGGTGCCGGGGCCCAAGCAGGAGCGGCTGGTGCAGAGCGTGGTGCAGTGCATCTCCTCCGTCCTGGCAGCAACGCGCGTGAAGAAGCCGGAGCTCCTGCAGGAGCTGTTTTCCGAGCTCTGCACGTGCCTCTCCCCCCCTTCCAGCTCCAGCAAACCCGCCTGGCTGTCAGAGGAGCTGAAGCTGGCTGTGATCCAGGCACTCCACACCCTGATGCATTCAGCTTACGGGGATGTTATCTTGTCTCTGTATCAACCTTCCACCCTTCCTCTCTTAGGATTTGCTGTATCTTTGCTTCTGGGCCTAGCAGAGCAAGAAAAAGCAAAGCAAATTAAGATCTCTGCTTTGAAGTGCTTACAGGTCCTAGTTCTGCAGTGTGACTGCCAGGAGCACCGACACCTACATGAAGACGAGGCACAGCAGTGTGGGGATTTGTTTGCTTCCTTTCTGCCTGGGATTTCCATTACACTGTCTCGGGTTATTACTGGAGACATCAAACAAGGTCATAAAACCACTGTTTCTGCCATCAGACTCTTTTATCTGACTGTTGGCTTCGTAATGGCTGATGCACAGCTAGCCAGAATCCCAAAGAATAAAGAAAAGCTGCCAGTGGAACAAAGCAGGATATCAGAACTAATGGTCCATAGAGGGCCTGACTGGAGTAAGAGTACTGCTGAAAAACTCTCTCTCCTCCTGCATAAAATAGTTGAATTTTCTTCAGGTCACCCCCACTGGAAAGTGAGACTGGAGGTGGTAGAACTGGTCCACCACTTACTGAGGAGCTGTGGCCGGGCACTGGTGGCCTCCTTCAGTCACCTTTTAAAGGCCGCGGTTGGGCTGGTGAACGATGAAAGCAGCGAAGTCCAGAGCAGGTGTAAGGAGGTCCTGCAGGGCATAGCGGAGCAGAGGATCGTGGCACAGAACAGGGCTCTCGCCGACGTCCTCTCTGAGAACCTCCACTCCCTTGCCACGGCTCTCCCTCGCCTGATGAACTCTCAGGACGACGCGGGCAAGGTTTCCACGCTGAGTGTGTTGCTTGGCTACCTGAAACTGCTGGGCCCCAAGATTAACCTCGTCCTCAACTCCGTGTCCCACCTCCAGCGTCTGTCCAAGGCGCTGATGCAGGTCCTGGAGCTGGACGTGGCAGACGTGAAGGTGGTGGAAGACAGGCGCTGGGGCTGCCAGGGCGCCTGCCAGCCCTCGGGGTCCCTGCAGTGCGGCCTGCAGAAAGGCCGAGCTCAGAAGAAATACTTCCGCTTCTTCACGGAGGAGAGAGTTTTCCAGCTCCTTCAGCAAATCTGTCGTGTTCTTGGCTACTATGGGAACCTCTATCTGCTCGTGGATCATTTCATGGGGCTGTACGGCGAGTCCGGCGCGTACCGGAAGCAGGCGGCGATGGTCCTCAACGAGCTGGTTGCCGGAGCTGCCGGGGTGGGAGTGGATGTTCTTCAGGAAAGGGAAGTTCCTCCGGCCGTGGATGATCTCAGAGGGTCCATAGTGTCCATTCTCGACGAGTACACAGACCAGGCCAACTGGTACTTGATCACCAGCATCGATACAGAAGACATCCCCCAGGAGCAACCTGTGCAGCGTCCAGGGCTCGCTGCCCGTCCGGGAGGTGCGTGCGGGAGCGTTCTCCTTCCGTCCCCGGAGCCCCACGTAACGACCCGCGCCCTGAACAGCAACATCTGGCAGATCTGCATCCAGCTGGAAGGCGTTGGCTGCTTCGCTGCTGTCCTCGGGAAGGAGTTCCGGCTGCTGCTGCTGTCAGCTCTCTACCCAGTGTTGGAAAAGGCTGGTGACAAGACTCTGCTCATCAGCGAGACGGCACTGGGGACACTGGGAGACATATGCGAGGCCTGCAGTTACGACTCCTTGCAGTGTTTGATTAATGAGAATTCTGACTATCTGGTGAATGGGATTTCCCTGAACTTGCGCCAACTGGCACATCAGCCCCGCGCTGCCCAGGTCCTGGACACTATGCTGAGACATTCCGACGCCAGCTTGCTGCCACTGGTCGAAGATGTGATCCAGGACGTCCTGTCTGCACTAGATCAGTCTCACAGTACCCAGGCCTCCACTTTCCTCGGGGTCCTCCACTCTGTCATGGCAGCTTTAGGTATCTCCATGATTTGACTTTGCGTCGGTCAGCCCTGCTGTAACAGGGTACTTGTCCTTGACCTTCCGACTGGCCGGGGCAGACTGCAAGTACCCGAGGTACTGCAGCGTGACGGCAGCTCCGCCCTGCATGGTGGGCCAGCTCTGAAGCAAAGATCACCAGTAGCTTCCCCTCTCCACAACTGGTTTCCATTTGGCCTGCGGACTTGCAGGAACGTGGCCCTTCATGGTTGGGAAGGGGTGGATTTGCTGCTCCCATAAATGGGGAGGTCGCAGTGATGTGACTGCAGGTGCCTGGCACTGTAGTTCTCTCCCGTGAGACTTGGTTGTCACGTTTGTCCCAGGGACTCCGTGGTGCCTTGCCGGGGGCTCGTGCCCGCACGGTGACGTGTCTGTGCCTCTCTTGCAGCGCAGTGGTTCGGATCCTCCCGCGGTGGAGAGGAGCAGACGGGCGAGCGGCTGCGCGGGGCCTCGTCCCAGGGGCTCCAGGTGGTGACACGGCAGGAGGTGGAACAATTCTTCCGTGACTACGTCAGGCAGAAGCAGATCGCAGAGGGCGATCTGCCTGACGCAGGGGCTGAGGAGGCAGGTCAGTACCGCGTGCGGATGGGGGAGAGCGTGTTCGGCTTCGAGAAGGACAGTGACCTCTGAGGTTTCCTCTTGCCAGACGAGGGACATGGGACCAGGCCGGAGTCACGCTTGCTCCAGACCGTCCCAGGCTGGCTTTGAGCTGAGCTTATCTCATGGAAGGTGCTGCTGGGGTTTCTGGCTTAGTTCTGTGCCGAGGCGGGGAGTGGCGTTCACAGGCCGAGGCTTGTCTGGCTCTGAGACACAAGCACACTTATGTTTTCCCTTACTTCATAACAGGTTATTTGGGTTCAGGACCCAAAGTTTCCTCTTTCCAGGATCCTACTGCATCTCTCTCACCCTCCCTGTACCATTTTCTCCTGGCTAATGATGCCACCACTCCTGTCTCACTTGGCCCCGGTAGGCCCCGCAGACATTCATATAGGAAACTTTTTAGTCTTTACTGGGCTATGCTGCAATCCTGACCTTTAAATAGTTCATCTTTAAATACCCAGGCTTTTCATTTTTAATAAAAATCAATGGGAAATAAGTCCATGGTGAGGAGAAACTGCAAATGTCAGACCAACTGCATTGTCCAGTAAAGAAAGCAAACCTTCCCTAGTCCCACACTCTTAACTGAAGCCGACACTTAACTCACATAACTCAAGCATAGACTCGACTCTATCTAAATATGTTAAAAAACGCCAAAGGCCTCGCTCAGGAATTAGCAGAGCAGCTATGGGTGGGTATTGTGATCTCCCAGAACTTCAGCTCATGTTCACGGCTTCAGTAACGGTTTTGTCTTCCAGATGAGGTTCCCCCTCCTGCTAAACCGGAGCAAACCCACTCTGACACGGGGGGAGAAGCCCTGCTGCCCAGCCACGCTCAGCTGGCCAAGGAGGTGATGGAGAGATGCATCCACCTGCTGTCCGATGGGCGCCTCCGCGTGCGCCTGAGGGTCAGTAGCCACGGGGCCTGGGGAGAGGTGGCCCCCGCGGAGGGGGCTGGTAGCCCGGCAGCACGGCACGGTGGGCACTGGCCTTCCTGCCGTGAGGAGCTGGGCGCTGCCTCTGCTCACCGGGAGGGACACGCCGGGTGTGGCAGGGGAGGGGGGATGCGCTTCTGGAGTAATCTGGTTTAGCACTGGCAGCTGGGCTGAGCTGAATCTTAAGGGGGGCTTAAGATGGATGCTCCTGACAGTCAAGTCTTGTGCCTCGGCCTTTGGTGGAGGAAGCAGAAGCATCTTTCTGCCATCGAGGTCTCCCATCCCCCTTCCCCAGATGGTAGCACACAGGCTGATGAACATTTTTGAAGTTGCTGGGGTGATGATAAGCAGGGCTAGAAGCCTGGGTTTTCTTTAATTATGAAAATCCTTTGAAGGTGGCCTCCTTTTAAACTGCAAAGCAAGACAGAAAATGCAGCAGTGAGGCATAACCCAGATTCTTAGCACAGAGGCCCCAGCCCTCCCAGGTGATCCTGCTGCCACAGGACTGGTGGGGTCCTGGTGTGCAGCCCAGCCTGCAGGGTCAGGCAGGAGCCATGCCCTGTTTCCAGCCCAGCACAAGTTTTGTCACTGTGCTACTCGTCCCTTTGCGAGCAGGCCTGTGCTCTGCCCGGTTCTCCCAGGTCACGCTGAGGTAAAACCAAACCCTTCTGCACTAAACCCTCCTTTCTCCTGGCTCCCCGGCGTGACCCTGGGGACCCCCCTGACCGCCTGGTGCTGCACCCCTCTGAATGTCTGTTCCTGCCCCTCCTGCCCAGGTCCTGGACGTGCTGGAGCTCTGCGTGACTGTGCTGCATCCCCACGGAAACCACCTGCTTCCCCTGGCCCACCGCGCCTGGCCAGCTCTCGTCCCCCGCCTGACGAGCGATGACCCTCTGGCAGTGCTCAGGGCCTTCAAGGTACAGCAGCGAGTCTCTGCCAGCAGCCTTCAAGCTGGCGCTTAGAAGGCAAGTGGGGGCATTGCTGTGGCCCGGGGGAGAGGCACTCAGCTTGGGGGGGATTTGTAAGCATGGTTCGGAACACGGGGTCACCACCCTGCAGGCAGTGGGCTTGGACCACTCCCACTGCAGCTTGTCCAGAGATAAAACCTTGTCGCCCTTCCTGGGGAGCAGGGGTTAGTGGTTGGTGCAGGGAAGGAGGAAACAGTTCTTTCACGGCCTAAGCAGCTGTCAGAAGCACTGCAGAGTGCAGCTTGCCCTTGCTGGGGCCACAGTCTCAGCACTCCCCTTTGGAAGCCTGAGACTGAAGAGGAGGGATTGTTTCACCACCGCGGCGTCAGCAGGGAGGGGAGAGGTAAAGCAAAGACTTAAGTCTCGTAATAACGTTATTAAGAGAGCTCCCGACCACGTCAGCTGCGGCCTCTTCCCGACTCACAGGTTGGGCAACAAAGCGTGTTTCCAGAGGTTGCCAGCCCCAGGGTTTCACGGGGCTTCCACTGCTGTGCGGAACAAGATTCAGTTTGGAATCCTGCAGTGTGAATAAAAGGAGTTGTGATTCCCCAAACTGAAGCAGCCACACGCTAGAGTTTCAGAGTAGCCACGCCTCACACCTGCCTGCCCTAAAAGAAGGGAGAGATTGCCACACAAAACTAATTAACTCATGAAAAGTTCAAGGGGTTGTTGCAATTAGCGCTGAGTTGGGGGATTGGTATGAGCAGTCCCCTGGTCCTGCCTTCCTGAATCTGGGGCCGGGAGCTGCAGCGTCAGTGTACACCAACATAACAGGCGTCTCTGCCCTGCACAGCGAGCCGCGCCCTGAGGGAAGGTCGCAGAGAGAACAGGGCTTCAGCCCCAGGGATCCCCCTTTGGTTTTAGGTGTATTTAAGGCCGTTGTGGTTTTTCTCCCGGGCACACACCGGTAGTGCCGGGTGCCCTGTGCTGTAGCTGACCGGCCTTTCTGTTTGCTGGCGTGCTTGTAGAGACGGACAGTGTCCCCCACAAAGGTGATTTATATTTTAATGGCATTTTCCGTCAGAGGCTCCTCCAGCCGTTCTGAGTATGAGCTCAGAAGCTCCTCTTACCTTTCCGGGGCTGGCAGGAGAGGTGAAACCGGCGTGCAGGGTGCGGGGCCCTCGGCCGCTCGGTGGGGAAGCTGCGGCAGGTGCGGTCACGTCGCTCCCACCTGCATAAAAAAACCCATCAAAGGAGGGCAGAGCCTTATCCCCCAGGCTGGTGGGGCTGCCGAGCCCCTTGCAGCCCCGTGGTGCGCTCGCCCTGCAGTAAGTGCCGCGTGTGCCCTAGGTGCTGTGTACGCTGGCCCAGAGGTGCGGGGACTTCCTGCGGCAGAGGTTCTGCAGGGACGTGCTGCCGCAGCTGACGCGCTCCCTGCTCAGCCAGGCCCCCACCAGCGCCAGGGCCGGGCCCGTCTACAGCCACACGCTCGCCTTCAAGCTGCAGCTGGCTGTGCTGCAGGGGCTGGGTTCTCTCTGCGAGGAGCTGGACATGGGTGAGTACTGGCCCAGGCTGCGTGAAGCCTCGGGCAGATTTCCCTCTTCTCCTTTCGTTTCAACTGACCAGGCCTGCGCTTGCTCCTCACCCTTCTGCTGCCCCTTGGGACTGATTTCCTGATCCTCTCCAGCCTCGTCCCACTTGGGTCCTGCTGGGCCTTAGTCTCTTCTCTCCGAGAGCTCTAAAGAGGGGCCGTTCACTTTTTACTCCCCGGGAGACAAATGGGAGAGAAGATGCCCAGCCCCTTCCCACACCTGGCAGCTCATCTGCCCTGTGCATGAGAAGTGGGTACACAGGGGGTGCAGCTAGGCCTGTTGGGCCATGCTTTGTTCTTAATTAACTGAAGAACTGGAGCCCAGATGAGACTTCTGGTTAACTTCACTGGTTCCATTTTGGGGTGTCTCTCTGGGTCACCCTTTAAATGCAGCACGTCACATTGTTCTACTGAATGAAGCGCTCAGAAATTCTACTGGGTTAAGCTTCTGGAGCTGACTTTGATGAGGGAGAGGGTTTGCTGGCTAGTTGCTCTTTTCCTCTCCCAATGCCCTTGATTGCTTTCCTAGCTTTGCAGCGAGGTGAGGTCGGAAGAGCTCTGGGTCAGGCAGTTCAAAGGCTCAGAAGCCTCTGGCTGCCAATTTAGAACTGATTCTGTTAGGCAGCAGCCGCTGAGTAAGTTACCTCCTACCCTCCTTTTCTGTTCCATTTCTGCAGGTGAGAGTGACCTGAATAAGGTGGCAGATGCCTGCCTGATCTACCTCAGTGCCAAGCAACCCGTGAAATTGCAGGAAGCTGCCCAGAGGTAACTTCTCTTGAATGCAGATGTGTCAGGTGTACAAATAACGTGGGATGGAGGGAGCATGGCAACCCCTTTCCTTCGGCACCTTTCCCATTCCTCCCTCTGGCAAGTTTGAGTCCTGCAGAGCAGGATCTCTCGTGGAAGTTAACCCCTTTCTCTGGTGAAGCATCATTTGCTACCCAAAACGAGCTAGAGAGGGTCCTGGCCCACAGTCACAGTTGACTTTCAGATTGCCTCATGCTGCCTTTGGAGGCAGAGGGGGACGATGTGCCCCGTGCTTTTTTCCAACCACTGCCTGTGCTAAAATACTTGGGGCTCTCAGCCTGCTGGTGGCATGAAAGTGCAGAGGGGCTGACAGCTGTGCAAGAGGATGTGCCAGACGTTCCCATGTATTTTATCCCTTCGTACCTCCCGCGGGCTGGGGGATTTACTTCTGTCCTCCTTCCCTTTTCCCTGGGCTCCTGTCATCGCACCAAGCCAGGCCCTGCCGGGCGGACCAGGCTTTGTTTGGGAAGCTGTCAGTCTTGGCACCCGTCTTGCTCTGAGAAGCCTGGGGGAGGTTAAAAGAGCACAAACAGTTTAGGTGAACACGCATCAGCTCTGTGAAGTGTTGACAGACACAGGTTGCTGCTCGGTGTTCGAAATCCTGCTCAGCATGTTCCTGCTGTCAGGATAAGAAATCGCTGTTGTCATACGGTGTCACCTGGAAACCAGGCCGGAGATGTCAGCGGGCGGGAGGAGCCCGCCTCTCCCTTCCCGCGGGCTGTGAGCCTCTGCCCCAGGACGGCTGCGAGCCCCCCGCCCTGTGCGGCCGGCCTGGCCCCGGGGCTGCGGCGGGGGG